GCCAGCCAACCTAGACCTGATTGATTTTCCTGCCTTTTTAAAAAAGAGAGGGCTACTTTTTAAAATTTATTATCATTTAATTTGTGTGCTTCAGTTTAAGCTGAACTGTTTGTAAATTAAAACCATGGAGAAGTGAAGCTTTCTCTGAAAAAAAACCCTAAAAAACAAACCAAAACAGAAATACTCCTCTGTGCATGACATAAAAGAGGCAAGTGAAAGTCAGCAGGAAGCAGTGCAGTGGTGATTCCTGCCTTGCAGCCATCAGGAGCTCAACAGAGAGGGATTTGCCTCTGTCTGTGAGTCTGGGAAGGAAATCCTCTTATTCCAACCCTTGGGAGAGCTTCCCTCCTGCTGCTCAGTGCATTGTCAGCTGAGCAGCCACTGTGTTGCTCACATATATCCTGGAAAAAGCACCTGGAGAAGCATCTGGAGCTAAATCCCAATTTTCAGTGAGGCTGGGATTGCATTCCCCCCTTCTGAAATACAGAATCGTGGAAGAGTTTGGGTGGAAAAGGACCTTTAAAGGTCCTCTCATTCAACCCCTTTGCCATGATTTCACCTCAGCTGGCCAAATCCTCTCCAAGCAGTGAAAGCCAGCACAGAGATTATCTGTGAAATCTGTTTTTTTTTTTTCCTACACACCTGAGCTGCTCACTAAGATTTTAAATGTTTAAATATCCCCTCATTTTAAATATTTTGACAACAGGCAAGACAATCTGAACAGGATTCATCACGTTCTGAAAGAGCTGCCTAGACCTGGCCAGAACACACCAGAGATACCCAAACCCAAGTGAAAATCCCCTGCCAAAAGTCATCCCCATGCCATGGCTGTTTGCCCATGTGAATCTGGTCTCTGTCTACCTGTTCCTGATTTTAATGGCAAAGAACCCACTCCTGTGTTGAATCACACATTGCATTTGATGTCTTTGCCAGTTATTTCAGCATGGAAAGAACACCAGGGCAGAGCAGCGCAAGGCCAGTCTGTTGGGTGTCCTCTGATGGTTACAAACTTCCTTAAGAGCCAAGACTTTGATCTTGCTGCTGTTTGGTTCTCCTCTGTACACACTGCCAGCTTCAACTGCTTTTCCCTCTGGATTTCCCTCTCACTGCATCTTCTGCAGCATTTCCTGTGCTGGAGAGGCGTCGGGGTCCGCTGTTATTTGTCTCTGCCCCAACACGGGGAAAGGTGGTTCTGGGTGGCCGCAATTTCGAAGGATGAGTCTGGACTCTCAGGTTTTTGGTCTTCAATCTTGTTTATTAATTCTTATCTACAAAGCTTTTCTTTCTGCCCAGCCAAGGTCTGCTCAGCAGGACAGTCAAGTGCACTCTCTCCCGCCCACAGGGCGGCTGTGTCCTTTATAGTGAAAATTACGTCTATCATATTTGCCTTTAATTCCCAATACTTTTCACCCTTGTAGACAAGTGTACTTTCACCATGAACCAATCCAAATGTGCTAACATCATCACACAAAATGGAAGACATGAAGAAGAAAGAAGAACACAGGACCACGCCCTGAATCCTCCATCTTGTCTTCATGACCCCCTTGTACCTAACTTTCTAAAATCTATATTTCATCCTGTAAATATACTATTCACACCCAAGAACTTCTCATTTCCTCACACACAGATCTTTCCTCTTTAGATGGATCAAAGTCAAGCCACCAGACACTTTTGGCAACATTCCAGGGTTTTCGAGCCCCCCAAGGGCTCCCCTGGTGACTCTGGACATTCAGAGTGATGTGCTGGGTTCCCACAGAGAACAAATTAAATAAACTTCTCCTCAGAGTCAGGCAATATTTAGTGACCCCTGTGCTATAGAATCACAGAATCATCAGGGTTGGAAAACCTTTAAAATTATCAAGTCCAATTGTCAAACCTCCTCAAGTATGGGTAAATCCACAGATACTGAATCACACTCCTAAAAGGGAATAGATTTACATGGAACATCTCCTTCCAACCCCCTGCCAAGGGCAGGGACACCTTCCCAGGTTGGTCCAAGCCCCGTCCAGCCTGGCTTTGGACACTTCCAGGGATGGAAGAAATTTAATCTGAAAAGAAACCTGGATTTCATGCATGTTCAGCCCCTGTGAGGAAGGGGTGGATGTTTCAAGACAAAAAAAAAAGAGGGTTAAGAAGGACATTGAGGGTTAAGAAGGACATTGTTGTTTATCAGAGGAAATCTACCTGCTTAACCCCAGCCAGTGATCAACCTCAGCACCATCAAGTGCTCTTAACAAGTGACTAATCTGCCTGACACATCAAATTACAAATTACAGTGATTAAGCCCTTCTGATCAATACAATTGATAACGGCTCCTAAACAAAGCTTTCTTTCCAGAATGTACCAAGGCACTGTGTTTATTTCCACTCATTTGATTAGAAAGGATAACAAATCACTCCTTAAGCCTCAAGTGATTCTCCTTTTCCTGAAAAGCTGTGGGAAGTGCAGAAGGCAACACAACCACCTGGCAATAAATTAAATTTCAACACTGCAGATCACAGGGAGCCTCAATTGCTTTCCATCCTCCTGTTCTGGTGGATAGGACTGGGTTAAAATCATGTTTTTCCTCAGAGTTTTACTAGGATTTCTCTTTCCAGCAACACTCAGATGAAACAGTCATCACCTTCATATGATCTCATATCATCACCTTCATGAGATTTCTCTCCAACAAACTCCCCCCTTGCCCCCACCCATCCAAGTTCAAAGTTTGATTTTACAGCTCAGGCACATAAATTGAGTTATGGAGCCCCACTCCAGAAAAAAAAACACATTCCTTGACCTACTTGTGCTCTAATGCTGTCACTCTGAGGGGGAAATGTCACCATCGTATTTTCTGAAAAATCCCTTCGCCCAGGATTCTTCTCCTGGGAAGCTGAGATGCCTCAGAGACAAATGAAACCAATAATTATCTGATTTGCTTCTCCTGTGTTTTGCTGCTTTGGAGATTGTTTACCAACCCTTCAAGAACATGGAGTCAGATTCATCATTCCTCACTTCATCTGGGAACCCCAAGAATACAAGAGGGAAACACATTCTATTCAGGCACTTGGAAATTGTCTGTCCACACAGCACATAACAGAATTCTCCATACACTCATCCACATCACCCATCTAAGAGCCAACAATTCCGCTTTTCCTGTTGCCTCCAGGGCAGTTGTGAGTGTCTGGATAATAAATTCCGGTGTTGAGCTCCTAAATACCTGCTGATATTTTAGGGTAAATGGATGCCAACTGCTTTCCACAAAGGAAAAGACCTTAAAATCACCTCCTTCCACCCCCCTTCCATGGGGAGGGACACCTTCCACTATCCTAGGTTGTTCCAAGCCCCATCCAACCTGGCCTTGGACACTTCCAGGGATGAAGAAGCCACAGCTTCTCTAGGAACCTGTGCCAGGCCTCACCACTCTCTCAGGAAAGAATTTCTTTCCAATATCCCATCTAATCCTACTGTCATTCAGCTGGAAGCCATTCCCCATTGTCCTGTCATTCCAGTTCCAGTACTGTCTCCATGGACAAAACCATTTACCTGGGCTTAAATCTACAATTTCTGAATCAGTCCAATTCATCAGTAGTGACTGGTGGAAATGCAGATTTATCCCAGTCCAATATTTCAGCATTCCATCAGGGAAAAAAACCCTCCAAAGGATTTCTATATACTTGCTTTGGGCATTAATGACTTTCAGAATTGGGAAAAATACTTCCAATGGTTTAGTTCTGTTGTTACAGGAATGGAAAAAAAAAATAAAAGCTGTTTTGGATTATACTTTCCAATGAGAAAAATCATTTTGGAAAAGCAGAAAAAGTATCATCACTTCAACTATTTATTCTCCTTTTTAATGTATTGTATTTAATTTAATTTCTTTAAATATCCATGAAAACGAAATTAAGCATTTAGCTGGCTTTCAGATGAAGGTTTTTATCCACCCAGAGCTCTCCCTTTACTGGATTCCAGAACATTTCTTCAAAAGGCTCCATTGAAATGCACAAGGACACTTGAAACAGCTTCCAAATCAAAGTCAACCATCCCTTAGCAGATAAAAGCAGGGGCCAAAAGCCTTCCTGGCATCCAGAGAAGCTCCTCCTGGAATCAGCTTGTCCCAGGATTCTGCTCCATCAGAACAGTCCTTCACTCTGTGGCCTGGCTGCAAACATTGCCAGTGGAGAGTTTCCTCTTCCACTTTTCCCTCTTTCGGGAGGAGGGATGAAAATCTCAACCAGGATTTCAAATTCATCTTCCCAGCCCTTTTCCCAGCAAAATTATCTCTGCTTTTTGGATCCTGGCAGTCTCACCCGGGTTCCTACACACCTTTCACTGACAGACATGGGGCTGGTAACTTGAGAGAGGCATTTAGAGGGGGAGAGATCCAACTGGATGTCTTAATTTGGGGTTCTGACAGCTCTGCTGCAGGACAGGGTGGGATGGGATGGGGCAGCACCAAAACCTTCCTCCTTTCCTGATCATTGAAGCAGGAAGAGGTTTAAGGAGACTGGAGATGCTTCCAGGGGGATTTCTCAGTGTGATGAGTGCTCCATGAACAAGGAGAGGATCTCAGCTGCCTGTCCCAGCTCCAGAAATCCTTCACAGCCTCTGCTCCACCATGAGGACAGGAGAAATTTGGGCATAGGGAAGGGAGGCCAGCTCAATCAAAGGAGATGCTCACAATGACTTCCCTTAGCGTGGTCCAAGACTTAGGGGAACTTCAGGCTTTCAGCTCCCAAGGAAAAACTGGAAAAATTCCAGTTCAAGGAGGTGGACAACTGTGGTTAAACCCACTGAAACACCTCAGTCAGGCATTCCCAGCCAGGAGGCTGCAAGGGAACCTGCAGAGCTGCTGGAACTCTTGGCTGTCTTTGGAAGCACCCATTTCACTCCCTCCTGAAGAGCATCTGGAGGAATCCTTGCTCCAGCAGCAGAAGGGCTGGAAACAGCCAGGACAAGGCAGCTGTGAGGCTGATGGAGGTGGGATTGCTGGCCAGGGAGGGACAGAAGCGTTGACATACCTGAGGTCTGGTTGTCCCAGGTCAGCTCTGCCAGGCATTGGCTGCGCTCCTCTTCGATCTCCTGCATGATGCTGCACTCTGGTCTCGTGCTGGATGCCTGAGGGAGGGCACAGAAGCAGAAAGTGAGCAAAGCCCATGCTCAGGGAGGCATTTCTGGGGATTCATGGCCTCGTGGAGCGAGTTGGAGCTCTCCAGGACCATTACACAGATGTGCACCCAGCCTTATTATATATTTGCTCAAGAGGAGGGAGAGCAACCCAGAGCTGCTGAAAAAAAAATCAGCATTTCTCTCCATTTCCTTAGATAAAAACACCCCAAGCCTATATTTTTTTTTTTTCTGATGATCAGTGTGATAATTCACTTGTGGGGAATTTTGGAAGAATTCAAGATAGGACCTCTGAATTGTTTTTGATGATGCAGTTTATTTCTCTTATCCTCTGCATAGGCAGGAAGGGTGAGTTCAGCTTACATCTTTACTGCATGGTTCAGAAGGTCACAAGACCTCTAGTTACAAGACCTTTTAAGGAGTTATTGACCAATAAAACACTGCCAACAAGGATATTTATGTTTTTGACTCAATCCTTAAATATTTAGTCTTATGGACCCATGCTGCAGTGTGAGCTTTCTTAGCCAATCATGTCATGACACACAAACCTACAGTACTTCACTCTAAACTCCTTGTTTATATCTGTAACTGCTTTTATTTTTTCTCTATCTTAAACTCTAAACTTTCCTTTACTCAGCTTAACATGTCTCTGCTTTAAACTCTAAATCCACATTCTCCCTTCTAGCACCTCAGTTTGGGAGCCTTTTCCAAGGTCTCAGATCAAATCCTGGGTTTAATTCTAAGCTTTGGCTTACAGGCCCAAAGTTCTGAGAGTTCCTTGCATTTTGGATTCCAACAGATCAGGAGCAATTCTGCTGCTCTATGCTCTGGAAACCCTGCCTGGCTAACCAGCAGCACCAGCTATGTAGGGCAGGGCAGATTTAATATTCATGCCAGGAGCAGTGGGATCTGTGCTTCGTGGTTTATTCCCTGGCTCCTGGCTCTCACGCTAATTCAAAGCACAACAAACCCCAAATCTAATAAGAACAGAATCTCTGATGCAGATTAGGAGATCAAGGAGCTAAAAAGCAGGAAATTCCCAGTGACAAGGCTTTTTCCCCTCAAGTGGTTTCTCCCCAGTCAGCCCTAATCAAGTTGTGTTTGTAATAAAACAGTGGCCATAAATGTTCAGGTAATTAATTGTGGACTCCTCATAACATGCAATTCATTAACTGCCTCAATCATAAAACGTGGAAATGGTGATTTTTACTCCAAAAAAAGGAACTCACACATATCTCAGTGTCTCCTTGTCACCAATGCACTCTCAGCTTGGAGGGGACACCTTGACCATTGCTATGGGCAGAAACTCAGACTGCTCCCAACCCCAGCTCTTTTAAAGGGATTGCAAAGGGCATTCAACAGGGAGAAAACTTTTCAGAAATCCAGCTTCAAAGAGGTGGAGAGAAGGGAATGATGTCAGGAGAGCCAAGCCTTGGCTTGAGTTCATACTGTCACTGTTAAATGTAATGTGGGAAAAAACATCAGCGGGGTGAACTTCAGGAACAGATCATGAGGACACAGGAGAAATGATTGATTCAGTGTCCCCTCTTGAGGGTTTTGGGATAATCACATATTTTCATCAGAAATAGGCAGAGAAAATAAATTAAGAAACCAAAAATAATTTCTTGCCTCGTTTCAAAATGCGTTGAGTTATTGCTCTGTTGATATATTTGCCAGTCAAGGTTTTAAGACAAAAAAAAGTCCAGCAATCCTTTGAAGGAACAATTGTTTGATGTAAATTTGGGTTAAGATTATAAAATAATTTAACACATTAAATTAATCTCACCATTTCCTATTAACCTATCCTGCTTTCTTCCCTGTTTCATGCCATGCCTGGTTCAGATTTTAATTTCCTTTAGGTTGGGAGTAGGCCTTGATTAGTAGTGTATAAACAAATAATTGTGGTTTTCTAGTCAAATTAAAAATAAATAAAAATACAAACACCAGAAGAAGGGGAATCATTTGGAGTCATCTTCATTCTCAAATATTTCTTTTCCCCAAAGGGAAACAGATCTTTGGAAATTTCATCTTGGCTCATCTGACATACCATAGAGTTATTCTGTTTTGATTTACAGTTGTTCTTGCCATTTTATTTCAACCTTAAAAAAGCACAAGGGGAAGCGTGAGAGATTTGCAGAACACTTGCTGGAAAAATAAAGATTGAAATGTTTTCAAAACATTCTGACTTTTTCAAGGGGAAGTTTTAACTCTCTGGACTTAAACGTTTGCCAAATTCATCTCACATCTATAAATACCTTTGGTTTTCACTTTATAAATTAATTCATACTACTCTAACTTTGATCAGGGCTGGCAAAGCACTCTGGAGTTCTACAACAGATCTAAATTTTTTTTTAGGCAGTAGATTTTACACCAAGCCCATTAGCAAGTATTTCACTGCCACTTCTTCCCTTCCCCAAAATCTCATGCCTGAGTTGGATAATTGTATATTCACCTCAGTGGTCCAATATTTACTTCTGAGTAAGTGGTTTTATCACCTTTAAAAACCAATGAGGCTCTGTTTTGAAAAGTGGGCAAATGACAGGCTCAGGTAAACTTGATTATATGTAGAATCTTAAGTTTTTTTCCCATACAATCCAAAAGAAAATATATCTATGTTAGGCAAAACTCTGAAAAAAGAGTAGTAAAAACTCTGAAAAAGTAGTAGTCCAGTAGCTAAATACCAAAATACAGAAGATCTTGGATTTGTGGTGCTGGTGCTGACTTCTTGTGAGCTTTTAGGGAAGGTGGGTGCTCACAACAACCCCAAGAAAAACTGCACTTTTGTGGCATTCATATTCTCTGGAAAAATCCCTTCACCCAGGATTCTTCTCCTGGGAAGCTGAGAAGCCTCAGAGAAAAAGGAAAACAATATTATCTCATTTGATTCTCCTGTGTTTTGCTGCTTTGGAATGTGGTTTGTATATTGTTTCATTGGTTTTGTGTGAATTGTTTTTGACTTATTGGCCAACTGGGGCCAAGCTGTGTCGGACTCTGGAGAGAGTCACGAGTTTTTCATTAGTATTTTTTATTCTTCTGTCTGTATCCTTTCTGTATTCTCTAGTATAGTTTAGTATAGTATTCTTTAATATAATATATATCATAAAATAATAAATTAGCCTTCTAAGAACATGGAGTGAGATTCATCATTCCTTCCTTCGTCTGGGAGCCCTGAAAATACAATACACTTTGAGAGCAGAGGGGCTGGAAAAGGCCCTGGGGGTGCTGGTGACAGCAGCTGAAGATGAGCCCAGACGTGCCCAGGTGGGCAGGAAGGGCAGTGGCACTTGGATTGGATCAGGAATTGGGTGTCCTGGACCAGAGTGAGGATTGTCCCCTGTGCTGGGCACTGGTGAGGCCACAACTCCAACCCTGGGGTCAGTTTTGGGCTCCTCATGACAAGAAGGACACTGGGGAGCTGGAGTGTGTCCAGGGAAGGGAATGGAGCTGGGAAGGCTCTGGAGCACCAGGAGAGGCTGAGGGAGCTGGAAAGGGGCTCAACCTGGAGAAAAGGAGGCTCAAGGGGGGACCTTGTGTCTCTGCCAGGAGGGGACAGCCAGGTGTGGCTCTGCTCCCAAGTAACAAGTGACAGGACAAGGGGGAAGAACCTCAATTAGCACCAGGGGATGTTTAGTTTGGATATTAGGGAAAATTTCTGCACTGAAAGGGTTAACCTCAGCACAGGCTGCCCAGGGCAGTGGTTGAGTCACCATCCTCTGGAGATACCTAAAAGCCCTGTAGATGTGGCCCTTGGGGACATGAGCTAGTGGTGCCCCAGGGGCTCCCCTGGTGTCTCTGCACATCCACAGTGGCGTGCTGAGATCCCACAGGTGGCCTTGGAAGTGCTGGGCTAATGACCCCTCTTGATGATCTTGGAGATCTTTCCCAGCCTTAATGATTTTATGATCCCATAAAGAAAGAGTGGGATGTATCTCAGCTCCTCTGTCAGTGGGACACATCATCCTCAATTTCAGCTGAGTCAGAGCTCTATGTTTAGTCTGACCTGATTTTTTTACCATTCTTCCAAGTCCACAGAGAGCAAGCAAACACCAGCTCTGAAGGCTTTCATCCCACTCCCCTGCCTGTGGTTGGATGGCTTCAAACTTAAACACCCAGCACTCAGCTGGAAAAGGTCAGTGATGTGTGAATTTAATGTCCACAGACCTTTCACTCAATCAAGGTCAACAAACAGATTCACACTGGAGGACTTGGAGTTTATGGCTCATTTTGCACATTAACTAAAGAAGTAAATAAATAACTCTATCACTCGTTGTTCCTCCTTCAGCCTCCTCAGTGATGACAGCAATAACCCTCACATGTCACAGCAGTCACTGATACAGGCTGACAAAGGCAGATGGAATAAAAATAACCCAAAAAGATCACAGTTTTGGGCATCATTAGGAAACAAAATGTGGGATTTTTTGCTGGGGGGTCATCAGGGAACAAGGTCAGGTGCCTTAATTCCCCCCCCCAAGTGACAAAATGCTCATGTGGTTGGAAAGAGCCCTGAAGAGCTGTCAGTCCTGCCTGGCAAAGGAGATATTCCCTGGAGGAGGGGCTAAATAATTATTTTTCTTTGGTCTATTCCTCCTGGAAAAGTTGAATTAGACTTCATAGACAGCTTTGTACAGACTGACTTTACTAATTCTCCATTTCTAGGCTGTTTTTTACTATGTTGTGTTGTTCTGTTTGGGTTTTTTGGTATGGAACTGGCAGAGATTTTGGGCTTCAGCCTCCTTCACTGCAGTGGGCAACTGGCCACACAGACAAAGGGCTGGGAGCACATGAGTTCACTTTTCCCATCCAAAAAGTAAATATAAAGCAAAAAGCACAACAAGCTCTGGTTGCTCATGTTAACGTCAGAGGGTGAGCTGTAATCCAGTTTCTTGGGAATGTCCATTATGGGTGAAGCTGAAATGTGGTAACCACCCCCTCAAATCCCTCCTGGCATGCCCCAAACACCCTGTGAAGGTGTGGTGGGTTTGTCGGGGGTT